AGGGAACTCCGCACGGGCGGGGGGTTATGCTGGAGGCAGAGGGCTCTGCAGGCTCAGAGCCTCGGGGAACGAAGGCCCAGGGCATGTGCCTGGGAGACCGTGTGGACACAAATACCAGGACAGAGGTACAAGGCTGAGCACAGAGACCCTCACGGCTCCTGCCTGGCATGTGAGGAGGACGAGAGGAGAAATCAGTCAGAGGGTGGGGGTGTTCCAGCATGCGCCAAACCCTGGTCCTCAACCTTGGCAACGCACGCCTCATTCTGGAGTGACAAGGGGTGATGATACCTGAGGCCAACCGGAGTGGCCCCTGGCCCCTGAGCACCACCCTGTGGGACCCCCAAAGCAACTGGAAAAAGGAAACAAGAAAAAGTTTGGGGTTGGAGTAATAGGACAGCGGGTGAGGTGCTTGCCTGGGACGCAGATGACCCAGGTTCCATCCTTGATATCTCATACGGTCCCCCGAGCACCACCAGGACTGATCCCTGAGCTCAAAGCCAGGAGAAACCCCTGCCAGGTGTGGTCCCAAAACAAAAACAAAGACCAGAGGCTGCTTCTGCCTCTCCAGGGTCTAAAGTCCCTCCGGCCCTGTCATCACTCTGTGTCTGGACCAGGGATGCTCACCCCAACTGTGTGCCCGACCCCAGCCCTCACCCCAGATCAAGAGACCTGGGCGTTAATATCACCTTAAAGCTCTCCAGCTGTCCCAGAGGGCAGATAGTCACTGCCCAGCCCTGAATGCACTCTCCTAACCCCAAGATGGATGTCTGGGAGACCGTGACTTGAGCAGCTCAGAGAGTGGAGGCAATTTACTCAAGGTCACACAGCCAGGTGGAGACAGAGCCAGCCCCAAGGCCCCAGCCTCTCTCCTGAGCCTGTGCCAACTTCTCTCCTGCGTCTGCAGTTCCTTTATACAAACTGAAGCCTAGGCGGGCACTGCCCACCATCACTGTCACTGTCCTCCCGTTGTTCATCGATTTGCTTGAGCGGGCCCAGTAAAGTCTCCATTGTGAGACTTGTTGTTACTGTGTTTGGCATATCGAATACATCACGGGTAGCTTGCCAGGCTCTGCCGTGTGGGTGAAATACTCTCGGTAGCTTGCCAGGTTCTCCAAGAGGGGCGGAGGAATCGAACTCGGGTCAACCATGTTGGCTGCATGCAAGGCAAACGCCCTACCCGCTGTGCTATCGCTCCAGCCCGCTGTCCACCATATTTCACTTAAATCATTTTGGGACCGGGTCCCAAAAGTTGGGGTCACCACAGTGATGGGGCAGGCCATTAGCAGAGCCGTGTTTGGCTTTATCCGAATCTTGGGCAATAATTTAGGAAATTTAATTAAAGGGGGGAGAAACGGGGACCCCTCGCACCCCTGGCTTCCTGTTAGAAGGAGTGAAATAAACCAGGCTGTAAAAGGAAATGCTGTCAGAGACGCAGCTTCGATATTTTACAGCCAAATTTTATTCGCTGATGTGAACGTAATCGCTGGAAGCCGGAGCCCCATTAATGCACATATTTCCACACATCTGGGGCCCCGCCTGTCCCTCCCCTCCCCCGGGGTATGTTCGCACACCTCTGAGGTCAGTCCTGGCCTTCTCTGGGCGCGCCTAGGCCCGGGCGGGACATCCCTGCTAGGTCTCTGTCCTCCCGTGGCAGAGAGGGGCTGAAGGGAATCTCAGCCCTGCTCCTCGGAGCGGGGCTGAGCCTTCTGGAAATTAGGCGGCTTCACACAGAAAAGTCATTGTTCCCCCTTATAAATGGGCTCCCTGGAAGCCAGTGACCGCGGGGTCTCTGATAAGCTCTCCGGAAGCCTCGCTCCGCATGTTATTGGGGTGTTAAAAGGTGCGACTCCGGGCTGGCATTGCTCATTGTTAGGGCTGATACATTTAAGTCGTTTCTCTGGGAATCAGGCAGCTGAGGTATTTCCCCCCCCTCTTGGCATTGATAGATGGGCCAGAGGAAGCCATTTGGACAGCGCCACGGAGGGCCCTAGCCCACATGGTGAATGATTTCCAATGCCTGGTTTAATTTATTTTTAAATGAAATTTGTTATTGATTCCGGATTAAAAGGACAAATCTTACGGCTGTTACCACTGACGAGTCCTGGTGCTCAAGTGACACCCCTCACGGGGGAGAGGGGGTGGCCGCCCGGAGCAGGGGAGGGACTGGGGCGCAGAGACGCTCTCAGGGAACGTTCAGAAGAGTAGTTGGGGCCCGGGAGATAGTACAGCGAGCTTCCCTGGCAGGCAGCTGACCGGGGTTCAATTCCCACCACCCCGTATGTTCCCCTGAGCCTGCCAGGAGTGATCCCTGAGTATAGAACGAGGAGTAAACACTGAGCACCTCTGGGTGTGGTATAAAAATAAATGAAAGAAAATGTGGATAGCCATTGCCAACACGGATCCTGCATGTCCTTTTTCCAAACACCGCTCTGAGGATTCATCCCCTTCTGTCATTTCATCCTCCCAATCCTTTTCTTTTTTTTTTTTTTTTTGGCTTTTTGGGTCACACCCGGTGATGCTCAGGGGTTACTTCTGGCTCTGCACTCAGAAATTACTCCTGGCGGTGCTTGGGGGATCATATGGGTTGCCGGGGATTGAACTCAGGTTAGCCGTATGCCAGATAAGCAAATGCCCTCCCCGCCATGCTATCGCTCTGACCCCTCATCCTCCCAATCTTGTCATGGAGGGATCAGCTTCGTTTTACAGATGAGGCTGTTCAGACCAGAGAGGCTGAGTAGCTTTCTAAGGTCACACAGCTAGGGAGGAGCAGAGTCTGCCCTAGAATCCCTCTGTTCTCCCCTGCAGACCTTACCTGCAGTCTTGTCCTGAAGATTAAGTGGAATCAATACAGCGGTTGGCACAGTGGCGAAGACACCGTGAAGGTCCCACAGGGCCAGTAGGCCCCGGGAGCAGACGTTTGTCCCTGTGGGGAGCTGAGGCTGGGCCTTGCCAGTGGGGGACATGGCAGACAGGCAGAGGCCAGCTGGGGGGCGGGGCACCTTCAGGGAGGGACTGCACCTGGAGCAGAAGCTCTCTGCAGGGGGAGGTTGGGGCCCTGGCTGCAAATTAGAGAAGTTAGGAGATAGATAAGGCCAGGATGTGGTTTTCACTTGTTTGGTTGGTGCTTTGCTTCTGTGGGGGCCACACTGGCTCAAGGCTTACTCCCGGCTCTGTGCTGAGCGATCACTCCTGGCGGTGCTCGGGGGACCATATGGGATGCCGGGGAATTGAACCCTGGTTGGCCACGTGCTGTGGCTTGGCCCCCGTAGAGAGCGTCCAGCAGAGCTGATACCCTATGTGTTTTGTCAGTCATAAAGTCCCTGGAGGCCTGTCCTTGAGGGAAACTTAGAGGTCACTGGGCTTCGCCCTGTTTCAGACTATGAGGAGAAAGGACTCCTGAAGGTCAGCCGGTGGCTCAGTGACAGCAACCAGCCAGACAGTGGCCCAGCCAGAGCCGCTCCCCATGGGGGCACCAAGAAGGACCCCTTGCTCACGCCCCATCCCTCTAGGCAGAGGTTTAAGGGAAAGAGCCTTGGGTCGGAGCCCCAGTCCCCCCCGCCCCGCTGTCCTGCAGAGGCGTCAGGGTGCGATAGAGAGAGTTGTGGGTTTCATTCTTGGCGCTGCTCCCCATCTGGAAGCTTCTCCCATTTTCTCTTTTGTGGTGTGTGTGGGGGGGGGGGGGGCGGGAGGGAAAACCGAGCGAGTGAGTTGATGAATGAGAAATGGCTTTGTCCAGTTCAAGACCCCTGCCCCGGGGGGGTGCCTCAGTGACCCCTCTGTGTGGAAAGGGAGGGATAGGAAGCAGCCTTGCGGTGGGGTGGGGGCATTGAAGCAGGCCCACAGGAACCTTCCAGGCTGCAGAAGGCAGCAGGGAGGGATCTGTCCGAGGTAGCTGCGCCTCATACCAAACTCGAGAGCGAGCCACGAGCCACACTTGGGGGCGGGGGGTTGTCTTTAGTCCCAAATTCACTGGATGCTGCTGCTTAGGGACTACAGGACCTCTCGGCAGGGCTGGGCTGGGCTGACCGCTGTCATTGTGGTACAGGGAAGTGAGGATAGAGTGAAGATGGGGGGGGGGGCAGGGAGGCATGATACAGACTGTCCCTCAAGTCCTAAACCCATTAGCAAAATGTGGGGTGCTTTGCACGGTGCTGGACTTGTGATGTGGAGGGGGCAGTGGGCACCAGCGGGCTGACTCCCGGGAAGGTGGGGTGGGGGACCTGGAGGGTCTGTCCCCCATGCAGCATCTTAGCGTCCTTCGGCCCAGGGAGGACGCGGCTGGCGTTGTCCTCGCCGGGTGGTGCTGAAACAGCAGGGCCGTGTGACACAGAGGTGGGAATGGGACCCGGGGTGGATCTTCCCGACGCGTGCCACCCTTGCACTGGGGTCCAGGAGAAGTCAGGCCTTTGATTTCAGGGGACTTGCAAACGGGTCCGCGATTGGGGGGGTGGGAGAATGAGGGGGCTGCTAAAGGTCAGTTCCAGCAACAGCCCCTTTAGGGCTGGACTCGCGGGAGGACAGAGCGGAGGAGCCTGTTGGGCTCCTGGAAATGGGGGTGGCTTCACCATCCTCCCCCTGCCCCCCGCATCCCACCGACGGGGTCCCAGAAAGGGCCTCTGGGTCCAGAAGCGGCGGGGAGAAGCCATCCCCTTCTCCACTCCCATTGCACAGACAGCAAAACTGAGCCCCCGAGAGGGTTGTGGCCAACGGCCGTGTGGGCAGCAGCGTCGTGCTCAGAGTTTCCCGCCCATCGTCTCCTCCCCGCACCCCCCCCGATCCCCCCAACACCCCCCACAGCCCGGGAGCCCGGGAAGGGGCCCAGGGCTCGGCCGCACACCTGCACGCGCACCCCGGGGAGCCGCCGGCCCGCCGCGCCCCGCGCCCCGTGCGCCCCGCGCGCCGCAGAGCCGGGCCGTCCCCCTGGCGGGCGCGGGCTCCCCCGGCGTGCCCGGGGCGCGGGTACCGCTTTAAAAATCCGGCCTGGGCAAAACTTTGATGATAAATCAAGCGGCGGATCCCTCCGCCGGCGGGCGGCGCGGCGTGGCCTTCCGCGCGGGGGAAGAGTCCCGCAGTCGGAGGCGGCCGGCGGGGCGTGCGCTCGCTCCGGCGCGGCCAGGCGCCCGGCGCGCAGCATGGGGGCCCCGCTGGCCGCGGCGCTCGGCGCCCTGCACTACCTGCCACTTTTCCTGCAACTCGGCGGCGCCACGCGACCCGCCGGCCACGCGCCCTGGGACGGCCACGGCTCCGGACACGGTGAGTTGGGGGCCGCCGCCCCGCACCCCGCCGCCGCGGACCCCGCCGCCGCGACCCCCGCCCGGCCGCCGCCGCGCCGCTCCAACTTGCCGCGTCCCGGGGAGGCGAACCCGCCCTGGCCGCGCCGGGGAGCCCCCCGCGACGCCCTCTGCCGGCTCCCGGGCTGCTCCCCGCACTCCCGGGCCACCCCTACCGAGCAGCCGAGCAGGGCGCCGCCGCCGCCGGGGCACGGGGGTCCCCCCGGCTCCCCCGAATCTGCCCCCCGCGCCCCGCGCCTTGTCCAGCCGCGCGCCCGCGCCCAGCACACACCCCGGCGACCCTGTATTCGCAGCAGCCGCCGGCACCCTCGCGCGCACAGCCCCAGACACCTCCATCCGCTCCTCTCTGTAAACAGAGACTTGTGCCCGCCACACACACGCACACACACGCACACACACACGCACATGCACACATGCACACGCGCACGCACACGCACATACAACGGGCGCGCGCACACACAAACACACACGCGCGCGTGCCACGGCCCGTGGCTCGCACCCCGCCAGCTGGCACCCAGGCGCACAGACTCTGCACAACTCTTGCCCTCCCGCTGCAGACACACTAGCGAACGCACACACTTGTGAACACACTCCTGCTCGCCGGGCCTCTCTGCCCGGCTGCCTTCCCGGACCCTTCCCGACGGGTGGGTTTCCGTCACCTGCCCCTTCCAGCTCCACATTTGCTCCTGGCAGCCCTGGCAGAGGCCCTGGGGGCCCCGGGCAGCCCTTGCCCCTGGAGAACAGGTAGCCTGAGGCGGCAGTTGGGTGGAACCAGACTCCGGAGGGGCCCCTGGAGAAGCGGGAATAGTTGGGATTCCAGCTCCAACCCGAGGCAGGGGTGGGAAAGGGAGGAGATGCCTGCAGCCTCGTTTGTCTACTTTGGGAGTGCACAGGAAGCCCTCCCCATCCCCACTCTTGCTTGCCCACCCTCCCCCAGGACCAAAATGTGGGAAATCTCAACTCCACTGCCGCTTGGGAGCAAGCCGGTGTGCCCCGCTCGGATGCCACTGTCCAAAGCTCCTTCCTGCCCCAGAGAAGTCCAAGTTGGCCTGAGTGAGGTCGTCGGATGCTGGCGGCCGTGTGGGGGGCTGCCTCTGCCCCTATGAGCCCGGCATGTACCCCAAGGACCAGGGCACAGATGGAAATACCACCCCAGCCACCATCCCCGCAGGGACCCTGGCTGCATGGTGGGAAGTGGCAGCGCCAAGGGCTGGGTACTCTGTGCGTAGGGCTGGGTGCAGGTTTGCACAAAGAGCAGAGAATGGGGTGATTTATTCTGATGGGAAAGGGTGAGGACCGGGAGGGGGTTGTTGCTTTGCTGCTGGGGAGTGACGCAGGAGCGGGATTGCTTCAGGGGGCAGGGGTCTTCCAGAGCCTGCCTCGGGTATTTGCTTCCAGGGAAGGAACCCTGACTTCTGTCTCCCCCGTTCCCACGTCTGGTGGCCGGGGCACTCTTCATGCACCCTTCCCATCCCTCGTGGCTCTCCAGCCTGGTGGAGAGTGGGAACACAGGGAAGGGATTCTAGCTTCAGTGTGGACGCAGATACCCGGGCTCGGTGAGCGAGGGGCCCAGCTGGGTTGGGCCCTGGGTCTGGGGGGCAAAGGCAACGCGTGTTCCCAGGACTCTGCTGCCCGGTGACTTCCCGCGGTTCCGGGAGGCTGGGAATTCCTCCTTGCGTTCCCTCCTGCACTCAGCTCCCTTCCTTGGCATGGTGGAAACTTACACTGGGCGCCTTCTCCCTCAGCACCCAGTTCTCGGGCCGAGATGCCAGGCCCGGGGCTCTGAGGTGTGTGTTTCTCCCCTTCCCAGACCCCCAGACTTCAGAGATCTGGGTGCTCCCCTCTCTCGCCCCGGGGCTCCCCGAGGCAGGCAGGCTGTGCCCTTGGCGTGGCAGTCTGCCTGCTTCCCCGCACCAGGCGTGCTCAGGCAGTCACTCAGCTCCACCCTCGCTGATGTACCCCCTGAACCCCGAGAGGTCCAGCGGAGACTCGAGGGGGGCTGCTGGAAAGGTCTTTTCTGCTGGAAAATCCAGCTCCTCTCCTCTCCCCTCTCCTGCCGAGCTCCGGGCAAGTGAGCCGCCCCTTGGGGCTCAGACTGCCTCCTCCCGCATGGCCAGGCTCCAAGTCACCACTCTGAGGAGTCCCGAGGCTGGCCCTCCACTGGTCAGTGTCCCCACCCCCCCCACCCCGGCTCCCATCTCAGCCCCTGCCTTGGGAGGGGTTGGGAGCCACTCACTTAATCACCAAAAGAAACTGTTATTAATGATAGTGAGACATGGCGAAGAAGTGGGTCATGTCTAATAAGCCATTTGTGTTCAGGAGGAGAATACCAATTTGATAAAAGCTGTGTGTGCTGAAAAAGCCCAGAAATTGCTGTTTAGCAGATTGGAGTCTGATCGTTTCATTATTTCTAGGATCCGCGTGGTCTCAGCTGATTCAGGAAATGTGGTGGCCGGGAGAGGGAAGTCTGTGTGTCCCGGGTAGGGGGGTGGTTCCCGGGGGGGGGGGGGGGCAGGCGCCCGCTGACCCCAGCCCCTTGCTGGCTCTGGTCCCGCCAGCCCAGCCACCAGGCTGCCGCCTTCCGCCCGCCCGCCCGCCGCCCGCCACCCGCCTCGGGGGCTCCTTGCAGGCCGAGCTCCGTCAGATGGTCGGCTGCAAGGACGGCTGCCTCCCTCCCGCCCAGCTGCCCGCTCCCTCCGTCCCTTGCGCATCGCACTTTGCAGGGGGCTTGTTAAAGGCACGATAGAAAGTGAGAGGGAGGGACTGTCTCCTTGGGGAGAGGGGCTCAGGAACGGGGAGGCTGCAGTGGAGGTGGGGGGTGTGATCTGTGCCCACACCTGGTAGGCGTTTCATACCTGGCAGCTCATCTGATTTTCCCCCCTGCCTTGAAGGGTTCACCCGTTGCCTGGGGGAGGGGGGCCACCGCGGGAGGGGAGGTAGCTGATGCTGATGCACCCCAGAGTGTGAGTCGGGCACTGCCAGACGCTGGTTCACTAAGGCTGGCCTTCATGACCCAGGCAGGGCTGGCATTGCAGGGAAGAGGAAACTGAGGTTCACCGTGGACCGGTGACTCGCCCAAGGTCACTGAGCCTGTTTCGAGAGGCAGAGAGCTGTTTCGAGAAGGAAGATGGGCTGGGTCCCCCACGCTGGGCCAGCCCTGAAGTGGGCGGGGCTGGTCACAGCCCCATCCGCACACCCTGCCTTCCAGCTCCCCGTGGACTGTTCACCCTGGGATGCCATCAAGGGGAAACAGTCGGGAAGGAGGATGGGAACTTTCTGAGGCCACACTCCAGGTGGGGGGAGGGGGGACAGTGGCCCTGGACTCCTTCTCCTGTGCTCTTCCAAGGTGTGGTCCAGAAGGCAGGGTCTTGGTGGGGTGGGGGGGAACTTTGCAGATTCCTCCAGCTTTGGAATCACCCACAGAGTTCCTTAACATGCAGATCCCAAGGTCTTCTGAGACGCCCCCTCGGCCAAAATTTTAATAAGCTCCCCCAGAAGCTTCTCAGGTGGAGTCAGCTGGAGTTTGCCAGCCACAGCCGGGAGTATCCGCTCGTGCCTGATGGGATGTGGCGGCATCGTGGCGGCACGGCTGGGGCCTGCTGGGTGGGCTTGGCTTTGCAAAGGTGGGAGAAGAATGGAGGGGGGCAGGAAAGTGGACCCTGGGAACCTTATCCCACAACAAACATCCATCCTCGGAGGACCCCCGCCCTGCCACACGCATGTGCGCGCGCATACACACACACACACACACACACACACACACACACACTCAGAGCATACTCGGAGCACACTCCCCCCCAAGGCCAGCACCTTCCATTATTAATGTGCCCCGCTGCAGACAAAGATCCTGGCTTGGCCTGGCGCTTTGTCCACTGAGTGATTCGCTGTCCCGGGCTTCTCTCCGTTGCCAGCAGGGAGCAGCGGGGTGCTGGGGTGGGGAGGGGGGCGGGCAGTTGGCACCCGGCCCCGTGCCCTGAAAAACGGCTGGCTTTCTTAAGCGCCGAACTGTCGGGATCTCCCCATCAATATACCGGCTAGTTTGGTGGCGGGGAGAGGGAGGAAATTGAGGGCTGTCTTCCGAAGGTTATGATGTAAAAAATGCGCCCTCCGGCTGGCCGGCCGTTGTCTCGGGCGCCGGTGATTATCCCATCAATTATGCGGGCACACATGCGGGACATGGGCCGCCCTGGGCTGAGGGTTCCCGGGCCTCTGTGGGGAACGCGCCCTCACCAGTGGCTTCCCCGAGTCCTTCACGCCAATTGGCTTTGACACCTTGTCTGTCCGCCAGGGGCTCTGCAGTCTTGAGGCGGGGGAAGGGGGCTTCAGGGGACTCTGCCCGGTCCATATTGCAGCCTGGGGGCATTGATGAGAGTCTGGGGGGCGAGGGAGTGAGCGAGCTGGCCGAGGGGGCGGAGCCTGGAGCAGGTTCTTCCCGAAGCAGCAGCTGTTGTGTGGCATCCCCAGAGTGAGGCGGGGTGGGGGTACGAGACCAGGGCACCTCGTGGTGCTGCCTTGTCAGCGCAGGGTACTACCTTTCCCGGGTCTGTCAGACAGGGGGTGCTCAAGGCCGCTGCTAACTGCGTGTCTCGCCAGCACCGTGAGCAGCTTCATCTCCCGTGGAGGCCTCCCTGGGCCCAGTGAGCTCAGAGGAAAGGAGCCCCCCTCAGGTCATGCCCCTGCCGAGCGTTGGAGCGGGTTTGAGCTCCTCTGGGAGAGGCGCGGGGGGTTGCTACCAGGGCAGGCTGGGTGAGCGCCACATGGAAACCGTGAGGAGCGGTGGGAGTGACCAGACCCCCTTCCCTTGAGGGAGAGAATCAGGTGGACAGGGAGAGAGCGTCACCGGCATGGGTGCCCACTGCAGCGCCATTCCCAAGCCATGGCCCTGACCATGGACTTCCGGGCTTGGGCCGGAGTGGACAGGGTGTGTGGCGACCATTTCTCCTCCCCAAGACAGTTTTTATA